AAGATAACAAGGTGTAGAGCTGGATGAACGCAGCAGGCCGAGTCCTGCTCCTATGATGCTGCTTGGCCTGCTGCGTTCATCCAGCTCTACACCTTGTTATCTCAATTTTCAAGAAATGTTTAGTATTAAAGCCTTGGACAATTCATAATTAAATTCTTAAAAACTGTGCTCCAAAGTAAACAAGCATAAGGCTTTGTAAAAATATCAAAAAATCTCTTCAAGAGAAGTTTGGCTTAATTTTCCATAGTGCAGCTGACCACAGTGAACAAGAACGAGAAGCACTTGTTGGGGTTAGTATTCCGGTGATCTGGTTTAGTCAGTAATCTGGATTGGAATCTTCCAGCAGAAGATATCCTTGTCATCGTCATCCTTCAGTTCCCATTTAACCTCCAACTTAACCTGGGTAGGGTGGTGGTGAGAAGGAATAAGAGAAAATTAAAAGCAGAAGGTGTTTGAAACGTTACAAAAACCTCACTACATCCCCTACAAAAATGCTAAATTTCTCAACATTCATTTAAAATCTAACGTACAAAACACATTCTCAGGCACCGGTTTCACTGCACCTGTGGCTCCACAAGTCAGCCGCATTGAGAAGTGGAAATAGCACCTTACCCAAAACTATGTACAAATTGGTCTGATGCATTTAAAAGCTATTTCTCTCCAATCACATGGTCTCACTTACGCACATCGAGTCAACCACAGACCAGCTGCTATCACTCCTTGCTACTGTTCTCCTCCCAACTCTGTGTCCAGCAAGAAAACTCACTTTAAAACATGACTTGTCAATCCTTTGGCCCTCCATACACCTTTGCAGCTGTGGAAATGCTAATCTGCACCCACATCTACACCTTTTAATGCTCAGGCCTCTGAAGCCATTGCTCTCTCTCAAACTGGTCATTCAGCTAATGCAGTCCTCTAGTTCAAGGCTTGGTTAAAAAACAGAAACAGAAAATATGTACAGGAGAAGGCCATTTGGCCCATCGACCCTAAACTACCATTCACTACATTCACGGCTGATCATGCAATCTCAGTATCCCATTCCCTTCCTCTCTCCATATGCCTTGAACTCTTTAGCCACAAGGGCCACATCCAGCTCCCTCTTGAATGTAAGTAATGAACTGGCCCCAATAGCTTCCTGTTGCAGAGAATTCCACAGGTTCGCAGCTCAGTGAAGAAATGCTTCCTCATCTCAGTCCTGAATGGCATATTTGGTAAACCATGTGATTTCAATCTCACTCAGCTGAAAAAATGTGAAACATCATTTGACCCCACCAAATTACTTCATCAGACCATTCTGACCATCCAAGCATCACCAGATAGAGTTAGAATGACAGTTCCCTTACTACAGGCCAGGGGTTTCGACCATCAAATCTGTTCCAAATGGTTTTACTTATTCATAGAATAAAGCACATTGTTTGACCAACAAAGTTTTTGCTGGCCTTGCTGAACAAATAGGCCACAGAATGATCAAGCACAAGGGATATTATTCTGCGTTTTAACACTTCATGTAAACACTTACTGTTGGGTATATGTCTTTCACTGGTAATGAAGTGACGTAGCTGTACCTCCCATTCTTTTGGATGGGGCATTTAATCCCAGATTTACATCCATCAGAATTAGGAATATGAAATGGAACTGGAATTCCAGATAAGATACCATGAACGTCAGCCTTGCTGGTACTACTCGAGGTTGCTGAAAAACAGATTACAAGAAAAAAAAGTTACAACCAACCAGCAAAATACACAATCTTGCCTGCAATTCCAGTTCTATCACTTGGTTTGAGATAAAAGCACAAAGATAGGGAGGACTCGGGTCCGCTCTGGCATTTGGGTACATTTCAACTGACACATCAGCAGTAACGAAAATTTAAGGAAGTTATTTTAGAAACACTTCACACTTGAGCAAAATCTACATTAATGTAGTCAGATGTTGCATTCTACTTGAACAAACATCTGAATTCCCACTGTCAGTGAACTAATCTCTTGACACCACGGATATCTTTCAAATCTTTGTTATTATTTGTGTTGTGACAATTGGAGTCAACCTGAAACTAATTTCAGTTGGCAACAGCACAGCAAGGGGGAATTCTGCCGTCAACTAGAGCGGAGATTAAATTCTACTTTAGGGATTAAAGAGAACAAGACAGAATAGCAACACAATTCTACATCGAATTCTTTTGGTGACAGCGATCCAAGTTATACTCAAGGCAAAACAGTATTACAGTTTTTATAAACTACCGATAAATATTAAAAACTTAGCAATAAGTGAAAATGAATAAACTCCAGTTGGTTCACCTCTAGTCTAGCCCCATTTCTAAGGCCACACAATATGAAGTACTTCTAAAACAAATGCTGGAAAGACAAATGTACTTAACAGCTAAAAGAATCTGGATGAGTGATGTCACAACAAACATCATTCAGTTCAACATGTTAAACCATCCAACCATACAGTTCACTCAATGCAGCAATTACCTCCTCCTTGCTACTTCCTATCAACATTTAAAAGTCAAAGCTTTTCCTATCCTTTTCCCTAAATTCCAGTCCTAAATTACTAGGAAATTAACTTCTTCGATTTTCTTTGGATTGCAGAATTGGATATTTTCCTCATGCCTCTACAACTTGAGCTGAAGGCACTGGTCAAAACGGGGCCAAGGAGAGCTCCTCAGGGACAGCAACAATTGAAACACACACTAATCTGACGCAGGAAAATCACAACATGCTCTGCTTCGATGCTCCAATGATTAGAGTATTGATAAAGTCTAATTGCTCCCAAATAATTTTATCTCGCACACCATGTCCCTGCATCAACATTATTCAAATTACTTTACTCCAGGATTGGGACCTTGAACTTTTCCATATTAAATTTCATCTGTTCATCTGCTCTCACGGAAGTGTTAACAAGATCTTTCCAAATTTTTTATCAAAATATACTGCTTTATTAAATTATACTGTTCTCAGTTTGGTTCTGGTTAGAAATCTAGCAGTAAACTGCATTTCTGATTCAGGTGATTCATGTCAATCAAAAACAGTGTCTGCACCTTTTCCATTTCTGTACTTCCAATGACTGCCTGAAGTTCTCAAAGAATTGTGTCCCTTCAGAGTTTCCTCCAAGATGCAAATACAATCAAGCATTTTCTCAAAGTTTACTTCTCTTTTTGCTGTTGATCTCGGTCTTCAGAGGATTCCTGCAACATTTTTTTATGTATATCCATTTACATAATCCACTTTCCACCACCTTACTTTTGGGTATTAACAATACATCTTCTGTGCCCTAATATTAACTCCTTTTGTCAAATACTGAACTTGCGCTGCCAGACTCTTGATATCAATATCAAATTTTCAGTCTGTGTTTTTATTGTTACGAGTCCTAATTTCTGCTGGTCCATTGGCTTTTCAGATCTCTACTGGAATAGAAATACAAGTTATCAAATGAGATATACTATCCAAGGGGCTACTAACTACAACCAGTTAATTCTGTAAATCAAGCAGACTGTATTGAATTGGCTCTACAACAAATTAAAAAGTGTTAAATTTTAATACCTCATTTGTTTGATATTTGCCAACCAAGTAGGTATAAATCTGTTTCCTCTATTCAGTTATAGAGTCATACAGCATGGGAACAGGCCCTTCAATCCAACTCATCCATGTCAACCAGGTATCCCAAACTAAACTAGTCCCATTTGCCAGCATATCCCTCTAAACCCTTCCTACTCAGGTACGTGTCCAAATGTCTTCTAATGTCATAATTGTACCCAGCTGTACCAGTTCCTCTGGCATGCACGCACATACTGAAAAAGTTGTCCCTCAATTCCCTTTTAAATCGTTCCCCTGTCACCTTAAGCCTATTCCCTCCACTTTTAGACTCTCCTATCCTTAGGAAAAGGCTTTGGCTATTCACATTATCCAATCTCCTCATGATTTTCATTTAGCATTCAGTTTCACAGGGTGAAATGTAGATCTGAAACAACAATGCTAAGCTTTAATAAGGGTAATGATAAACGAATGAGGGTAGAGTTGGCTGGAATGGACTGGGAAGAGTTTAGCAGAAAAGATGCTTGAAGAACAAGAGCAGACATTTCTGAAAATAGTTCATGATTCAAAACAAGGTTATATCCCAATGAGAGGAGGATGCTAAGAAATGGTTTAACCAACCATGGTTAGCCAGGCAAATTAAGGATAGATTAAAATTGAAAGTAAAAACATACAATGTGTAAAGGATTAGGAAAAAGTGTTTAAAACCAACAAAAGATGGCCAAATGGGAGAAAACCAACTTGAGGGTACACTTGCAACTATTATCAATATGGGTGGCAAAAGCTTCTTTAAGCATATAAAATGAAAGTGTGGACAACAATCACATGAGACAATGCAACAATTTGCTTTCAGTCTTTTCCAAAACTTTTACCACAGTCTGATCTTCTGGGCAGATATTTCTGTTTTATCCTAAAATCCACAATTAGTGTCCAAACGTGACTTTCAAAAACTCCCATAGATTGTTAATGGTAACGTTGCAGAGAGAAAGTTGAATGTAATCACAGTCCAATTAATTATTTAGAAACCTTCATGATAAACAAAAGACTTAGTGTGGGACACCACTAACCTTAAAAATCACAGGCAAGGTACTAGCAGGGACAGAAGATTGTCTGACTGACAAAAAACAGCATGGGGATAAAGAGTTCTTTTTCACAATGGCAGCCACCAACCTGTGGTACTCTGCAGGGGGCCAGCGCTACTCTGCAGGGGGCCAGCGCTGGAATCGCAACTATTCACATTATACATCAACAAGGGACTTGGATACAGTGAATAGCCAAGGCCTTTTTCCCCAGGGTACGGATGTCCAAAACTAGAGGCCATAGGTTTAAGGTGAGAGGAGAAAGATTTAAAAGGGACATAAGGGGCAAATTTTCACGCAGAGGGTACTGCGTGTATGGAACAAGCTACCAGAGGAAGTGGTGGAGACTGGTACAATTACAACGTTTAAAAGGTATCTGGATGGGTATATGAATAGGAGGGGTTTAGAGGGATATGGGCCAAACGGGACTACTTCACTTTAGGAAACCTGATCCACGTGGATGAGTTGGACAAACCAGGGTCTATTTCCTTAACATATGACTCTACAAGTACGGTCTATCTAGTGCCTTGTAGGGGTTCACTGCTCAACTTAAACCTGTGCCGTCTAGTTTTAGACTCCCCTACCTTGGGAAAAAGACCATAACTATTCAACTATGCTCCTCATGCTTTTATAAAACCTCTACAAGGCCACCCCTCAGCCTCAGAGTCTCCAAGTGGTAAAAAGCCTCTCCTGACAACTCAAACCCTCCCGTCCCAGCAACATCCTTGTAAACTTTTACTGCACGCTTGAAACATCGGAAACATTTCCCCCTTAAGTGAGAAAGATTGAACTGCCATTGGAGGCAGTCCAGAGAAGGTTCACCTAGTTGATCCTGCACGTGGCAGGATTGTCTTATTAGGAGAGGTTGAGCAGGTTGGGCCTACTTTCATCGAGACCTTATTAAATCACACCAGATTCCCAGGGAATTGATACAGCAGACACAGAGAGGCTGCTTCCCCCACCACGGGTGAGTGCAGGACCTGAGGGCATAATCTCAGAGTAAGAGGCTGATCAGTTAAGATAGAGATAAGAAGGAATTTCTTTTCACAAAGTGTAGTGAATCTGTGGAATTCTTTAAGACAGGGCATTGTCGAGGCTGGGTCATTAAGTATTTTCATAAGACCGTAAGAAATAGGAACGAGATGTGGATGTCATTGGCTGGGCCCGTGGTGGTGAGCTGCATTCTTGAACTGTTGCAGGCCACTTGCTGTGGGTTGACCCACAATGCCATTAGGGAAGGAATTCCAGGATTTTGGCCCCATGACTGAAAGAACAGGGATATACTTCCAAGTCAGGATGGTGAGTGGCTTGGAGGGGAAGTTGAAGATGGTGGTATTCACATGTATCTGCTATCCTTGTCCTTCTAGATGAAAGTAGTCATGGGTTTGGAAGGTGCTGTCTGAGGATCTTTGGTGAATTTCTGCAGGGCATCTTATAGATAGTATACACTGCTGCTACTTAGGGTGAGTGGAGGGGGAGTGAATGCTTGTGGATGTGCTGCCAGTCAAGCGGGCTGCTTTGTCCTAGATGTCGTCAAGCTTGAATGTTGTTGGAGCTGCACTCATCCAGGCAAGTGGAGAGTATTCATCACACTAGGCATCACTGCGCAGGTGCTGCTTGATAGCACTGTTGATGACAGCTTCCATCGCTTTACTGATGATCGAGAGTGGACTGATGAGTCGGTAATTGGCCAGATTGGATTTGTCCTGCTTTTTGTGTACAGGACACACTTGGGCAATTTTCCACATTGCTGGATAGATACCAGTGTAACTGTACCAGACAGCTTGGCTAGGGGAGCGACAAGTTCTGGAGCACAAATCTTCAGTACTATTGCTGGAATGTTGTCAGGGCCCATAGCCTTTGCAGTATCCAGTGTCCCTGGAGCCAGCAGGTTGGTAAGGAGGAGGTCAATTATGTTTTACCTTCTTGTTGTGAAAGTGTAAACTGTTAACTCATGTTTGAGAGGTGCTTTAATATACAAGTTATATAGTGAAGCTGGGCCCCACTGATTAGGATAATAAGTCAGACACATTCAATGTAAAAGTTTCCTTTCAAATCCAGATTTGTTTTATCATTTCACTTACTGCTAGTGAAGGTGACATTCACATTGTACATTTGCCCTTTGCGAAGTTGACAAGGTTGAAGAGGGCAGGGAGTGATATCCACTATGATTTGTTCTGCTGTAGATTCTGTAATAACAACGGAAAGTTAATGTCACTTATCTCAGGTAGATGCACAGATAATTAACAGAAGTTGGATGCATTGGATGGATAACCTGCTACCTGCAGTGATGCAATGGAAAATTATTCAAAGCAAAAGGTTGTCTAGAATTAAAGCGGTTTTAATTTATACTTCTTTTTCCACGTAATCTGCAGCAATATGATTACTCAGATTAATCACATGACTATTTTCATAATAGCAGTTTCACAACACATGAAATCACCACGTGGAAATATTAAACAGTAACTGGGTTCTAAACTACTTTATCATAACCTTGCACAGAAAACACACAAACTATTATAGACATAGGTGAGGTAGTTGATGCTCTGTAGTTAAGCAGGATACCAGGAGAAAAAAAAAGTGTCGATTTTGGGGTGAAGTAACCAAAGACAACTCTTTGGGGACATTTGCAGATGAGGTATAAAAGTAGCAAAAGTTAGCAAACTTACGAACCCAGCATGTTAAGAAAAGCAATTTCACCCTCACTGCAAAAGAACAATGTCTTTACAAAATAATGCCACTGCTAGAGGTTCAGGACATTGACAGTTCACCACACAAATGGGCATGCTGACTCTTCATATTGTACAAAACTATGATATTCTTGATTAACTTTGGAAACTGTGGATGAGTCTTATAAATCTATTCAACCTAGGGCAGTTTCACAGTTTAGAGATAAGCCACAAAAACAAAGTTGCTGGAAAAGCTCAGCAGATCTGGCAGCATCTGTGAAGGAAAAAACAGAGTTAGCGTTTCGGGTCCACTGACCCTTCCTCAGAACTGGTTTACAGCATCTGCAGTTCTTTCGGTTTTTATTAGAGATAAGCCATCCTGTTAACCACACCCAGTTGCGCATAAACCTGACTTGCATGCTTTGCAAAGCCAAAGGATTCTGAAGAACCACCGTAGTGTGGCAAGAAACACAACTGACAGCCGTACTTAAAGTTGAATTAAAAACTAATATGTTGCAGGAATACAATCAAAATTAGTGTTTTGATCCCTACTGGGGGATCTTGAGCCATGTTTAGCACAAATGACCACCACAGTGCAAACCATCATTCCACATATGGTTTCAGCATCAGAACCTAGGTTTGGTTTCAACAGTCTGGGGTCATTTGGAGGAGATCAACATTATCAACAATTCCAAGTGTAAAACTGGCTGGTAACAGGAAAATGCAAACACAAAAGCTTGAAAGTTAGCCTCGAAGCAGAAGAAATTTAAAGTTATGAACTGCAGCTCAGGGTGACACATGAAAAAAAATAAGATAGTTGGTTGATTAAAAATAGACTAAAGCACTTATTAAATTAAAAAGCCCTTCTAGGTGGTTCTACAGGTCTTGGGTTTGGAAGCTGCTGTTGGAGGAGCCTCAGAGTCACGGTAGTACATATTATAGCTCATACATATTGCCAACACAGAGGTAGAGGTGGGAATGTTGAAGGTGGGGTGCCAGTCTAACACATTACTTTATCCTGGACATTGTCAAACTTTGAACATTGTTGCAGTTGGACTCATTCAGGCAACTGGAGAGTATTCCATCCCACTCTTGACTTGTGTCATATGGATGATGGAAAGGTTTTTGGGAGTCAAGGAAAGAGTTATTCACTGCAGGATTCCTAGCCTCTGACTTGCTGTTGTAGCCAATTTATCTAGCTAGTTCAGTTCAGCTTCTGGTCGATGGTAAATCCCAAAATCTGATATTAACAGCATTACTGTCAGTAGGAGATTTATAGATTCTCTTGTTACAGATGGTAGTTGCCTGGCAATTGTGTGGCCCAAACATTACTTGCCACTTATCAGCCCTGGCTGCATGTTGTCCAGGTCTTGCTGGACAATTGACTGTGTCAGCATTTGACTCCTTGGATACTGAATGGTGCCAAACATTGTTTGCTGATGATTCCATACCAACATTACAGATGTGCAACTCAATAAAGACAAGCCAATAGCTAGTTAGTTCAAGAATGGAGATGTGACTAATTGCACAGATTAGAACAATACTTGCTTTTCACCAGTGGCCCAGATTAATAATGCAGATAGTGTAAATTCAAATTACACCATCGTTGTCCTAGAATTTGAATTGAGCACAAAGAAGTGAAATAAAAAAAGTATTGTCAATAATGGTGACTGTGAAACCATGAAATTCTCAAACTGAGTTGGCTCACCAACAATTTTGACGCTGCTCAGAGTGGGAAGCTGTTAGCTAATCTAGCTAGAATACTCATCCAGGTCAATAGAAGGCCAACAAGTCTAATCAACATTAAGTAATTCTAATGAAGAGCATCACAGCAACAGGCAAACAGCAGCCAACCATATTCTGGATGGTCCCAATCAACATTCTCAGCAGACAAAGTAAAAGTACTTCTTGTAACTTCTGAACCAAAGCACAGAAGCTCCACTAAACTTCAGTACGTGGTATTTTCACAATCTCATCTAAAACGAAGAGGAACAGCACAAAGTTCAATGCCATACAGAAGTAGGTTTAAGTAAACATACACGTGAAACACTTATCTGTATTGTCTAAAAATAAACTTGTGACTTCAGCAGTGCCTGAAACTAACTCGTGATTTGTGTCAGAAAACATTGATCTGAGAGAGGATCAGGAAGTGAAAGGAAGTCTGAAATTCCTGCAGTTCTGTAGCTGTGAGGTGCTTAGGGTGGAGAATAAGCTGAGTGGTCCCAATCAATATGACCAAGGTGAAAAGGGGGCTATGTCGAATAAAGAAAATAATAGAAACCGATAACATTAACAAGTAGCTCCAGACATCGAGTGCCTGATGGTTTGAAATAGAATCATAGAATCCCTAGCGTGGAAGCAGGCCATTCGGCCCATTGAGTCCACACCGACCCACCGAACAGCACGCCACCATCCCCCCACCCTATCCCTGCAACCTTGCATTTCGCATGGCTAATCCATCTAGCCTGCATGCCCCTGGATACTATGGGCAATCCACCTAACGTGCACATCTTCGGACTTTGGGAGGAAACTGCAGCACTTGGAGGAAACCGACGCAGACACAGGCAGAATGTGCAAACTCCACACAGATAGCTGCCCGAGGCTGGAAGCGAACCTGGGTCCCTGGTGCTGAGGCAGCAGTGCTAACCAATGAGCCACCATGCTGCCCACAAATAGTGTGATCACCACCTTCCAAACACATACCATGTACAAACTTGTTGTACTTTAAGAGAACTGGATGGCTTCTTTGGAATCAAGGACATCTTGGTGACAGAATGCTGTTAGAAGCTAAATGTAACTTATCACCATTACTAAAGTCTTCTGGAGTTTGTCTGATGTCAAAAACAATCTTCCTTAGCTATTTCCCTCAGCAGATTGGCATCGCAGAAAAGGAGAGAAATATGTACTTTACAGTTCAAAATCACCTCAGTGACGAAGTTTTACATTACTATAGTCCACATAATAATATCTGAAATACATGACAACTGTACAGTGCACTATTCTGCACAGTTATGTTCTGAAAGAATTCTGCCCAGAAAGTGGGAACAGAGAGAAATAAGGAAGAGAAACTAAAATAAGACTACGAAGAGAATTGGATTTCACTTGCATGACTGTTTTCTTTCATCTTTTGCTAGTTAGAAACTTTGTACAATGTATTACAGCAAACCCAAATTAACAGAGTAAGTGTATAACAATAATGACTTTGCAATAAGCAAAACAAATGCGCACAAACACTGATGTGATTACACTTTCTGTAAAAGACACAAGCACAAGGAAGTCCTTCCATTTAATTGGCTTGTTTGTCAAGTGTTGTCATTACTTGTTTGACAAAAAGTGAAGCAGCTAACTTTCACACCACGTTTCACAAACAACAAATAAAGAGAAACAACAGACATCTGAAAACAAAACCAGAAAAGTTGGAAACATTCAAGTTAGGTAGTATCTATGGATAAACAAAAGTCAGTTAACACACCAAGACTGACAAGTTCTCAATCTGTCCCAGTTCTGTCAGTCTTCCTCCCAATCCCGAGGAAGAGACAAGCCTGAAACATGCTGAGCGTTTCCACTTTTGTTTCTTGTTTTGCTTGAAAATAATCTATTATTTTGGCATCTTTCCCCAACTAGTGAATATTGCCCAGATAACAGAAGATTCAGATAATGTCAGGAGTGATTGGATTGGAAGGAGTGACCTAATAGAGATTGTTAAAGTCATGAAAGATTATAAAGAGTATGCAGCAAAATCAGAAGCCAACATAAACAGTCCGTAAATCAAGGAGGGAAATCAGAAATTGCGTTAGCCCAAGAATGGGGAGAATGACGAAGAAAAGAATTCAAGATGGCGGCGCCGGCATGACAACAGTGTTTGGGCTCCTGAGCCTGTCTGCTCCAGGCCAGCCATATCCTTCTCGCTCTCTCTCTCCTTTCTCATCTTGTTCTCTTTTCTTCATCTTCTGGCGTCACAGGGAAGTCAGAGCGGTGCTCGGCGGGTCATCAGCTGCGGTGGTGTTGGCAGGATGTCAGCTGCAGCAGGTAGTAGTGGTGGTGCCTGAAACGAAGACTCCTGGCTGCAGTAGGCCCCGAGCCTGGGCTCGACAGGTCTTTGGTTGTGATGGTGATGGTGTCTGATGCAGGAAGCCCTGGCTGTGGTAGGTCTGAAGCACGGACTCTTGACAGGTCATTGCTGCTTGTACCCGGAGTGGGAACTCTTGGGCCCGGGACACATTGCAGAGCTGTATCTGAAGACCCCTTGCACAGAAAATTAACTCTATTTATGCAATTTCTTTCCATTCTTTTTGAAACGCAATGGTGCTGGATTGTGGCGGTAAAACACTTTTCACTGTATCCTAGATATGTGTCACAAATAACTCACTCACTCAACTTGCTACCACAAGGAGTTGTTGGGGAAATTGCATTGGTGCATTTGAGAGAGAATAGAAGTCATTCTGGGGTTGAGTCAGTAAAGTGGAGAATAAACACCGCCATTGGGCAAAAGTGGCAGTTTTCATGATGTATATGCTATGTAACTCCCTGCCCCTTTTAAGTTATGTCACAAAATCCTTGACATCCACCTTAGTTTAAAATTTAATCCAACAGCTCCCACCTGGACAACCCAAAACCTTTTAAATACTTCACCATAAGGATCAGAGAAGCTATTGGCAGAAAAGTTCTAGAATGGATCCAAAGCAACAGTGCTGTTATCAGGTTGATTATGGACTTTTACAGCCAAAGACACTTTTGCTCACGAGATGAGCAATGGAATAAATTCTCCCTGTAAAGTGATAGTATTCAAGTGTAACAGTAATAAAGATGAATTTAATCAATAGCCTTAATAGAGAGGAGACTGAAGGATTTGATTTATTGATATCACATACCTAGATAGTGAAAAGTTTTGTTTCGAGTGCAGTACAGCCAGATCATACTATACAAGGTGCATTAGGATAACAGAACAGAGCAAAGAATACATTGTAAAAACAGAAAGAACTGCAGATCAGGAACAAAAAGAAAGTTGCTGGAAAAGCTCAGCAGGTCTGGGAGCAACGGAGAAGGGAAAAAAAAAGTTAACGTTTCAGGTCCGATGACCCTTCCTCAGAAGAATACAAGATCGTGGTTGCAGAAGGTGCACAGAGGGCGAGATGAGCATTAAATTTAAAATTTGAGATGTCCATTCAGAAGTTTAACAATAGGGGGAAGTCAGATTGAAATTCTCTTTCACTGCAGGAAACTCTGGGCAACTTTCTTGTTCCCCCATAGAATGTTAAACAGCTTTAAGCAAAGTGTCAAGTTTTGACAGTCTAGCTATTCCTTGTACCTCCTGTTCAAACTTTCCAGAATTTATTCAGTTGGCTGAACTCGAGAGAAAACTGAAGTTACTCAACACAGACCACTTAGTTGGCACCATCACCTGGAAATATCTTTCAAAGGATCAGAGACAAAAAAACTGCTGATTGTGATGTGACTAATGTTCGTGTGGACTGTGGTTACATAAAGAGCCAGTTCATTTTATTTGCTCTGAGAATTGAGTGCCTTCATACTGTATCACTTTTTAAAAGCATGTGATCCTTTGAAAGGTAGACAAACAGGAGGCTGGAAGAACACAGCAAGCGGGGCAGCATCTGGAGGAAAGAAGTCAACATTTCGGGTATTAGCCTTCTTCAGTCCAGCTTCCAGCCTCCTGCTTGTCTACCTTTCTAAGGATCACATGCTTTTAAAAAGTGTTACAGCATGAACATTAGTCACACCACAATTAATTATCTTCAATACGATATCTTGACAAACAGCGGGGGCAGCCAAATAGTCCTCCTAAACTCCATTATGTTACAGTTGAACTGCTTATTAAATACCTCAATGCTTTGTATCGTACAGATTTACTTAATTAAAAGGGACAGGAGGGAAGTGGATTAAAAAAATGTTGCAGAAGGGTGTGGAGGATCGTATAACTGAATCAGTGAGGGGTTTTAACGGCAGACATTAGGGAAGACAAAGGAATTGAACCCCTTGAACATACAAAGCCCTCTTCCTCTCCCCCTAGTCACTCACCGCACTCCAGGAACTTCACAGGTTCAGCCCCACACAGGGCCCCCAGGGACAGGAGAGTGACCAACAGGCGACACAGAACCGCCATGCTGCTAGGACCGGGAAAGGGAAGAGAACAGCCTGCTGTGGGGGTGGATTTATAAACTCTGCTGGAAGGTCTTCCGGGGCCCTGCTCACATGATTCACTTCAGCAGCTCCATAGGATTGGTGCAACAACAACACCAACACCAAACCCCACCCGGCGTCAGCAGCGCCTGACTCATCCCCACGCCCACACCACTCACCGCCCTACCGCCCCTCATTCATTCATTCATTCATTCCTTCCTTCATTCCTTCCTCATTCCCACACTCTCCCTCCCCCTTCCCACTCTCATTTCCCCATATTTCCTCCCGCTACTTCCAGCCAATCACATCCCCGCCCC